TCGTTTTCTTTCTGGTTATGCATTGTGCCTTATCTCTGTAATGTCAAGGGGCCGCAAACTGTCACCTATGGTTTAAAAAACGGAGCAAAGACTCTAAAAATGAAAATGGTCTCCGCAATTCGTCATCTCAAAGTAACACATAAGCAAGTTATCGCATTATTCGGAAACATAGTCAGTTTTCAATAAAATAGTGATATTTCTATCTAACATCTTTATTTTATTAGTTTTATGTGTAAGTGACATCATCTTCCTGAAAAATAGTTTGTTTTTAATATATTGTGATAATTCCGTATTTAATTTTAGATTCTCATAAAAGTTCATCTATTGATACTAGACTGTTATCATGTTAGATTTCAAGAATGCCCTTTAGAACTCTTACCTTTTAGAAATTATTGCACAAAATGTTTAAATGGCTACTTACAGATATTTCAATGGAAGTGATTGTTATTAAAATCGCTTCAAGTGAACTCATGTTAATGTTTTCAATGATACTTCGCATATATAATATTGTTGCTTTCTGATGTTTAAAGAGTTTCAGAGATAATTTGAGTATAAGTGGACCTACAGTGATCGTTAGGACCTATCCAGTTATGTCGGTTGGGACTATTTGGACTCATTCGGGACGCCGGTGAGGTATGATCGGACCTACATGGATTGTTAAGACCTATCCGGTTACGCCGGTAGGGACTGCTTTGACTCATCCGGGACGCCGGTGAGGTATGTTTGGACCTGCAGGGATTGTTTAGACCTATCCGGTAGGGGTATTTGGACTCATCCGATACACCGATGAAGTATGTTTGGATCCATCAGGACGCTGGTGGGGTATATAGGTGACCTAATTGGGACGCCAGTAGGGTGTTTTGTGAAATGCTTTAAATTATGCATCTCTGTTAAATGTTTATATGCATTTCAATCATTTGGATTATATTTAACTGTGTATTTCTGAAAGTGCAATTGTTATCCATAAATGCTTTTGCTCGAAATTTTCCTCAGGTTGCTTTTACTCGTATTGTTTGTAACAGATACCCCTTTT